CCCCAAAACCCCAAAACCCCAAAACCCCAAAACCCCTTACTATGAATTTAAATTGAAGACACGTTTAAATTTGGACCTAATTACGTACTAACTACGATTAAAGCTTGGCAGCTAATGGCTTCCACCAATCTGGTTTGCCAATGACGAGCCCATCCTCGACCTTCTGTCTATATCCTCTGAGATTCTCCCAGAAGTTGCACTCCTTAGCAACTTCCTTGAAGGCTTCAATGAGACCATCAATCTGTTCATTGGTATGGGTAGCTGTGACAATGATTCTTAGTCTGGCTAAACCTTGATCAAAGATTGGGAATCCAAGCCCGATGGTATAATACCCTCTTTTAAACAACTCAACTTCGAAGTGTCTTGCGAAATGCTCATCAGTGACAGAGACTGGGCAGATAGGGCAATCATCATCTCCATATACATCGAACCCTGCCGCTTTAATTCCCTTTCTAAATCTGAGTCCTTTTTCTTTGATTCTCTCGAAGATTCCTGGGTCCTCTCTGAAGATCTTGAGCGTCTCCAAGGAAGCTCCAATAATAGGAGAGCAAAGAGAATTGGAGAAGATGAAAGTCTTAGAGCATTGTCTCAGATAACTAATCATGTTTTTCTTTCCTGTAGTGTATCCACCACCACCTCCAGAGATGGCTTTTCCTAGAGTGCTACTAATTAAATCAACATCGCTTGGATCCATTCCCCAGTACTCAACAGTTCCTTTGCCAGTCTTTCCAATTACACCGGTAGCATGGCACTCATCAAGATAGAAGACAGCTCCATACTTCTTAGCCAAGGCTACATATTTAGGAAGCTCAAGGATGTCCCCGTCCATAGAGAAAATACCTTCAGTGACGATGCATTTGAACCTGTAGTCACTAGCAGCCTTCAGCTGTTCTTCAAGATGGTCAAGATCCAGATGTCTGAAGACGAACCTCTTTGCCTTAGAGAGTTTGATACCATCAATAATAGAGGCATGGTTTAATGCATCTGAGAAGATAGCATCTTCTTCTCCAAAGCAGGCTGCAAATAATCCTACATTCGTATGATAACCTGATGGATACAGAAGAGTGTCATCAGTTCCATGGAACTCAGAGAGCTCCCTCTCGAGCTGTTGATGGATATCCTGGAACCCACACATCAGCGGAGCTGATGAGAGGCCATATCCATGAGTATCCAAAGTTCTCTTTGCAGCAGCAATGATCCTGTCATCAGCTGCGAGTCCAGTGTAGTTGTTTGAACAAAAGTTTATAACCCTCTTAGCTTTCCCTTCGATGTCATTAGCAACCACAACATCTTTCTGCTTTCCATGAATGACATGGATCTCAGCATGGTAGCCTGAGAAGGGTCCGTCTTCAAACACTTCTCTTCAATACTCGTCGAAACCATTATCCTTTTCCATTTTTGAAATTTTTTATTAACTCTTAAACTAATTTGATTAAATAGCATCCCAAGTGTGTCACATGACGTGTAAAATTTGGATGTACAATTGACAGCAGATGAGAGGGCTAGTGGAAAAAATCAAGGATTTACAACTCGAAATAATATTTTTACTACCGCTCTAGCACACTGAGAAGTCTTGCAGATTTCTCAGAGGCTGTAAATTTCCTAAACTTCTTGCATACACTTAGTTAGCCAGAACTATTTCGTATTTTGAATATTTTCAATATCAACGTTTGGGAATCCTGAGACCCTTCGTTCAATCAAAATCAAGATCTTTGTTGTCTCTCTAACTCCTTGAAAAATAGCTCAAGGAGGGACAAGTCATGGCCAGGTTTGATGCTTCTGGAAGAAAAACTACTCCCGGGGCATCTACTTGGTAGTATCTCTACAAAAATGTCTGATTTCTTCATAAAATTTCTAGAACTCTGATTATTCATCCCAAAATATAGATCAATAGTTTCAAAAATGTTGAGGGAAAGCCAATGCAAAAGCCTCGCCATTTCCTAAAAGTGAGTATGATCCAGTTGCCTTGTTTTCTCCAACTCAAAAGTAATTTTAAATAATGATTTTGACATACACAGATCACCAAACAGAAAACTCATGGCAAGGCAAACTCTCTGGTGTGTATGAATACCTTTGGTCAGCATTCAGAGCCTGAACTCGCCAGATTTGGAATGAGCAAAAATTTGCTCTAAAAAGGCTTCCATGACGTCAAATTAGCTTCAGTACTAAAATTTTATTAAGGGGTTTTGGGGTTTTGGGGTTTTGGGGTTTTGGGG